AAAGCCAACTGATTTTTGTATGTTGATCTTGTATCCTGCTACTTTGCTGAATTGGTCAACTATGTCCAATAGTTTTCTTGCTGAGTCTTTAGGGAAAAACCCACTGCTATTATGCGCCACCAAGCCAAGTACCACTTACAGCAACTCTATGAACAACAGCTCTGACCCTTGACCTATCCTGTGCCATCTTCACTATCTCCAAACACCCTTGAGCCCATTGTTACAGTCACTATGTTAACCCATCTCGTCGAGGGTCTTCCTCTTTGCTTTCTCTCCACCTTTCCAAACATGATGCTCCCTGCAAGGAATACCCCTCCTACCAACAAGCCCAGAATACATAAGACAAGACTTCACTAGCCTAGGCCACCAGAATGACAGAGGTCTTTCTGACAAGGATTTGATAGTGAGGGCATTTTAGATAGTCAAGGGCAAGGGAGAAGAAAAATGAGTCAGTCTTAAGGGAAGAAATTTTAAAGAGAGAAGAGGCGCTATGCCCAGCATAGTCTGCTTGTTGTTTTAAACAAAGGATTGAGGAGCAAGATCTTAGGAGCAGAGGAGAGCTTATTGTTCACCTTTGCAGACTGGGGTGGGGAAGGGGAGAAGGAGAGGAACACTCTTAACTCTTTCTTAAAGGTTGAATATAATAAGTAATCTTAATGCAAGTGCCAGCACAGAAGACAGTTAGAGCAAGCCTGGGGAGAGCTTCATGGAGGGCTGTCATTAAATAAAGCCTGTCTCAGGAAACTTTGATGGACAGTGTCTCTCTTGGAGAAGGACATTCCAGGTGAAGGGTGTAACCACAATCTTTGTCAGGAACAGCAAGGAGGTGAAATCACAGCTTGTATTTCCACCCTATCCTGCAGGTCTTCAGCTTTCAAGTGACACACAGATCTACATAGGAGAACTGGGCAGAAAGGTGACCATCCAGTGTCCTTTCAAGGATGCCCAGACGAGGAAGGCCCTGAACAGGAAGTCTGGCCAGAGCTTCTACATTATCATTGACTCCGGTGGGTATAAAAATAATAACTATAAAGACAGGGCAGACCTGAATATAGACGGAACCAGCGGGCAGACATTCAGCGTCACCATTGACCGGCTCCGAGTCGATGATGCTGGTGTATATCTCTGCGAGGCTGGGGATCTGAAGAGAAATGTTTATCTCCAAGTGCTGAAGCCTGAGCTCGAGCTTGTGTATAAAGACCTGAGGAGTGCGGTGAGCTTTGACTGTGATCTGGGCTCAGGGATGGAGAAGAAGCCCAAATACCTGTGTCGGATGAGCCCCAGAGGGGAGGCCTGCTACGTGATCATCAACACACAGGGAGAGAAGGCTCAGGGCTTTGAGGGTAGGATCCTGATCACCTCCAGCAGCAAGGACAGTACTTTCAGTGTGCAGATCACCGGCCTGAAGAAGGAGGACGCAGGGCACTACGTATGCGGAGCCCTCCCTCTAAACGTGACAGGCGACAGCGGACCCATCAAGGCTTGGCAGCTGTTCGTCAATGAGGGTAAGATACTGGAGGGGGTCGTAATAAGGAGGAAGAATCAGTCTAATGAGCTCTCTTTTCCACAGCAGGAGCTGTGCCAATCTCTTTCATGCTCAAGCATGTTGTTGTGGTCATGGGATCGTCAATTCATCTCCTTGAGGGTCTTCCCTCAAGGAAAGCATGGGGGAGATTGTTGGCGAAGGCAAAAAAACAGAGCAAGATTTCAGTGTACTGTTCACAGAGTCATTATGAGTCATGGCTGACTTGACATCACCTAACAGCAACAACATTCACCAATATTCACCAATATTCATCAGTCAGTCCACATCATCCATTGGCCCTCAGCTGGATGTAACATGGGTAGCAGTACAGGACAGCTAGAAAGGACTTCTCAGTGTTAAAAACCCATTGTCACGGAGTTGATTCAGACTTCCTGGAGCCCCACGCTTGTCCAGTAGAAGCACACTCGTAGCATTTTCACTGTCTGGAGCTCTGGTGACCTAGTGGGTAAGGAGTTGTGCTGCGGACATAAAGGTGGTGCCTCGCTGGCAGTTCAAATCCACCAGTGTCTCCGTGAGAAAAAGATGGGCAAGCTCTTCCCCTGTGTCTTTGAAAATGCGCTGTTACTTGGTGCTGAATCAACAGCAATGGATTTTTGAGAGCTATATTGGAAGCAGACACCAGCCCCTCCTTGCACGGAGAATCTGCTTTTCTGTTGACAGCTTAATATGGCAGCGGCCAAGTTTCTGATTGAGCAAGACCTGGTCCTGCTTTCAGAGAACCCTGGGGACCACTTGTGTGAGGTCACCTCCGTGAGCCCAAGTGCCATCCCAATGTCTTGCCTGGGAGCTGTCTGTTCCCTCCCACTGGCCTCTGAGCAGAATGGCCCCTCTTCCCCGACATTCAGATGGGAGACAGACTGGGACACAAACCTTTGATCCCCAAGTTTTCCTGGAAGGCTGTATTCTGGCCATGATATTTTCTGCTCCAACATCTCAGTCAGTGCTGCAGGGATGCCTTGTTTTGTTGCACATCACAGATACTATCTTTTTTACAACTTGAAAACTGCAGCAACTTCTGAGAGAAGCAAGCTGTCCTCCAAAAGTAAAGACTTACTTCTTGTCAAGGTTACATTTTGGTAATTCTCACAAGATTTCAAACTTTATTATTATTTTTTACAGTGATTTTTCACACTTAATAAACTATCCAAACCAAAAAGACAGTCCGTCAAACAGATCCTGACCCATAGCCACGACCCTTCATCAGGCTGTGAAACTCTATGGGAGGAGGCTGCCCAAGGCTGGCAGCAGCCGGCAGATTCGACCCGCTGACATGTCAACCCACAGCCTGATTCATTCACACGCTACGCCACCAGGGTCCCGTTAAAAGACTGCAGTACAGTCTAAAAAGACCTTTCCTGCATGTTGGGAAACAAACCACACCATAACTAAAAGCGTGATTTCCTTTGTTGCTTGCTGCACTAGATTTATTGCCATGGTTTAGACTTGAAACTGCAGTATCTGTGAGATCTGCCTGTATGTGTAAATCAGGTTCTGGTCTATTCAGCTCTACCTTGAAGGTACACTAACATGGTAAGATAGTAAATCCCTGATCCTTCTCACCCTATTGTTGTTGTTGTGGTGTGCCATGGGGTCAGAACCAACCCACAACTAACCATCCAACAGGTCTTCAGAACCAGTAAATTGGACAAGACGAGACTGCCCATCCTTCTCCCTTGGAGCAGTTGATAGATTCGAACCACATGCCTTCGGGATTGCAGCACAGCTTCTTACCACTAGGCCATCAGAGCTCACAATATTGAGTTGCCCTCATTAGAAGTAGTAAATTCAAGACACTTGACCATCAGGCTTTCCTTTACAGAACTTGTATCTCCTGAGTATTATTTCTCCACACAGTTTCCCGTCTTCACCACGTCTCCTCCTATCTGGAATCTATCCCCCAACCCCCAGTGTCCTCACTGGAACATTGGATCTTTCAAGAATAGCTTTCTCTCCCTTTGAGGTGCACCTCAGGGCCCTCATCTATTAAACTCACCTAAGCTATTAGTCTATCTTTTAAATACCATCCTAAATACAAAGCGAGCTCTGGTGGCCTGGTGGCAAGAAGCTGCGCTGCAATCCCAAAGGTAGGTGGTTCGAGGCCACCAGCTGCTCCGTTGGAGCAGGATGGGCAATCTCCTCCCATGTGATTAACTGCCTCTGAAGACCCACCAGAGGGTCAACTATGGGTTGGTTCTGACTCAACAGTACACAACAACATTGACAAATACATAGTCTTAACTGGCTAAAAACCCAAGCTCGTTCTGTGTGTGAAGAGTTAATAAGTAGAACAAAACGTAGTGGGAGATTCTGTAAGAAGTTAAAAGCTGGTGTGCTCTCTTTACACTCCTTCGCGTCTGCTCAGAATGGTATGAGGTAAGGGAATGTCCAGATATGTAGTTAAGTCACTGCAGTCTGATCTCAGTGGTTCTCTCTGTAACTCTGGGCTTAGGAAAGTCCTTCATTTTCTGAGGAGCATGAGGTGTTTAAAATAAATTCTAGCTTCTCCCAAACCAGGGGGAAGCTATGCAGTCCATGCGAGGCCCCCCATTGCTGCCGTCCTTCACCCCTCTCTCTCTGTGCTTCTAGAGTCCAGCATTCCCCACAGTCCCACTGTGGTGAAAGGTGTGCCCGGAGGCTCTGTGGCTATCTTCTGTCCCTACAACCCTAAGGACAACCCTCTGAAGTACTGGTGTCACTGGAAAGAGGCTCAGAATGGCTTCTGCCCACTGTTGGTGAAGAGTGAAGGGCTGGTAGACCAAGCGTACCAGGGCAGGCTGGCACTGCGTGAGGAACCTGGCAATGGCACCTACACAGTCCTGCTCAACCAGCTCAGCACCCGGGATGCTGGCTTCTACTGGTGTCTCACCAATGGTGACAGTAACTGGAATTTCACCGTGGAACTCAAGGTCATTGAAGGTAAGAGCTGAACTGGAGGGAGAAGGGAGGCAACCCCAGGACCACTCAAGTCAGCAAGAACACCACCCTCCTATATGCATGCCCGTCCTTCCTCCAGTCCCGCCTAGTGCCATGCTGCATGCGACAGGTTTAGGGGGCGAACCTACCTGCCCAGAGGTCCCATTTCCATACCTGTAGCAAGTATCCTTCCTTGCACACAACCAACCCTTCAAACCAAGACTCAGTGTTGTGTCTCCTGTCATGAACATGGCCCTGCAGTATGGTCTATACAGTAACACGTTAAGTGAAGTGTGAACTATTGCTCGTTATATTGGTTTCAGGAGAGAAGGGGAGAGAAAAGAAAGCCAACTGGAGCTAGAGGTTCTGTTTCATGATCAGCCTTGATTGATTCACAGGGCTCATCAATACTGATTATTAGACTGATCCTTCCAACTATGTGTCTTATGCATTCAATATGTTTTAACACTTCTCAAAGAGAAAAATGGACTGTGGATACAGCCCCCTCCACAATCTCATCCCTGTGTCATCACCAGTGCCAACTCCTGTGTCCATTTCTCCCTCCCTCCTCGCTCCAGGAGAACCAAGCTTAAAGGTACCAGAGAACATCACGGTTTCCAAGGGAGACACCGTCAAGCTCCCCTGCCACTTCCCGTGCAAGTTCTACCCACACGAAAAATACTGGTGCAAGTGGAGCAACACTGGCTGTCAGGCTCTGCCCAGCCAGGACGAAGGGCCCAGTGACGCCTTCGTGAACTGTGACCAGAACAGCCAGGTCGTCTCCCTGACCTTGAACTCAGTCACCGAGGCAGACCAGGGCTGGTACTGGTGCGGGGTGAAGCAGGGCCAGCGCTATGGAGAGACTGCAGCTGTCTATGTGACCGTCCAGGACAAGGCAAAGGGTGAGTGTCTGAGGGCAAGCCCTGTGCCCCGCAGGACCCCAGAGGCAGGACCCTACCTCACAGCTTCTCACCTCAGGGTGGCTCAAAGGTTTGGCTAGGAGAGCTTAGGAGAGGGGATGATTTAGCCCCCACATAATCTCATCAAGTCTTCCAAAATGGCATCCCATATCAACATATAAACTCAGTACAAATCGTGGGCTTGCAATTTAACCTCAGCGTCAAGGCAGATTCCATAGGTCTTCTTTCAAACCACATTGTATCCCCTAAGCCTTTTCTGTAGCTAGAAATCCCAATGTCACTATCATAACCTAGTGTAATTATGCTCTCTTTCTACTGTCAAAGCTAGCTCTCAGAAGATAGCCAAAGCAAAGTGAAATAAAATAAGCCTACATAAAGTTGATTCAGTTACAAGGCCTGGTTTTAAAAAAGGGTAGAGGCATTCGTTTGTGGTTTGTTTTTTTTTTAATCCTCCTTTTTAAATTGAGATTTTAATGAGAGTTTATAGAGAACACGGATTTCCATTCATTCATTGTTGTACATTTTCCTCCCTGCCCAGCCCTCCCGCCAGTTTGCTTTTCTCTTTGAAAAAAAAATTCTTTCCTTGTTATAGAATCCCCCCTTCCCCAGTCCACTTTACTATGCAGCTCTTATTCTGGACTTTTATCAGGCATATAATACATAATCATATATTCTGTTTAAGCAGTTCTCTCCCTCATCTGTTTCAATGCAGCATACATTATTTATCCCCTCTTTTCTTAGTTTTCCCCTTCAACCCCTATGTCAGTTCTGTTTTATAACAGTGGCATTAGGCTTAGCAAACACTGACAAGTAATTCCTTTCCTTGTTCCTGGCCCCTTTCTAAGAGTTCTCCATATATTCATTAACCTAATCCACAGATTTAAGAGATGAAGAAACTGAGGTACAACAGTCAAGTGTGTTGGCCAAGATAAGACATGACATTCTTAGAGCTGGGTTGTGGCTTGCTATGCATTAGTACAGTGTGCTGGTGGCCTAGTGGTAAGGAGTTGCACTGAGAGGCAATCATTTCCAATAACAGTTGTATTGTAAACCTCTTCTTTAAATGTCCCTGAGATGTTTTATCCCTAATGAAGATCTTTTTAGTTCCCTTTAGAAGTCCTAAGTAGGGAATTCTGTTCACGTAGCCTGTAGTTATTGTTGCTATGTGCTGTCAAGTAAAAACTGACTCATGGCTGACGCTTCAACAGAGACTGTAAATTGTACAGGAGGAGACTGCCATCTTTCTCCTTCAGAGCAACTGGTGGATTCGAATGGTGAGCCTCTGGGTTGGCTCCACGACATACTACTAAAGCCACCAGTGGTTGCTGTAGTCCACAGACAGTTGCCCTATTAAACCAAAAGCAATGCCTCTCTGCTGGTTCAAATCCAACAGCAGCTCTATGGGAGAAAGATGAGCAATCTCCCATGTGACTTACAGCCTCAGATAACCTATTGACCGGTCAGCTATAAGTTAGTTCTGACTTGATGGCAATGAGTGAGTTGTGGTTTTTGTTTTGTTTTTTTAAGAAGTCCTAAAGAGCTCAAGTATGGCAGAAATGATAAGGATGGCACAGGATAGGCCAGGGTTCAGATCTGTTGTACATAGGATCACTATGAGTAATACTCAACTTGATGGCACCTAACAACAACAATGGTTATCAGGTTGCATTATGGTTAAATAGTTTCTTTGGCTGCTTAATCAAAAGGCTAGCTGTTTGAAACCATCAGCTGTTCGGTGAAAGAAAGACCAGGCAAGCTACTTCTGTAAAGATTCACAGGCTTCTTATTGTCATTATGTCCCATTGAGATGGAACTGACCCATAGCTGATCCTCCTGCAATTTTTCAGAGACAGTAAATTGCACAGTAGGAAATTGTCCATCCTTCTTCTGGGGAGCAGCTGGTAGATTAGATCCCAAGTACCTTTGGATTAGCAGCACAGCTCCTTACCACTAGGCCACGGCCACCAGAGCTCCCCACTGTGTGGAAAGAGCGTTTTGTCCTGCAGGGTCCTAGGAGTTGGAAGGGACTCCGTGCCTGCAGGCTTGGTTTAGGAGGCCCGTGGGCGTTCCTGGCTGTTGAAGACATTCAGTGCACTCATTTGTTAACCACATGGTTGGGGGGGGTTTAGTCTACTCTTTGAAAGAAATGCCTGGTTGATCCACTTTGGGAAAATCATGCATTGAAAAGCATATGGAGCGCACTTCTACTCTGACACCCCTGAGTCGCCATGCAAAACAAAACAGTGAAGGAGTTTGTCTTTTGCTTTTCGAGGAGCGAATTGGGGGTGGGGGTGAGGTGAGTGGAGAGAAAAGTGCAACAATGAATGAATGGAATTCCAAAATCTCTGTAGATTTTCACTGAAATTATTATTATTATTATTATTTAAAAATTAAAAAAAAAACCTATTTGGGTCTAGTTATTGGGGAATCATTGAAAACTCCACCAGGGGGCAGCACCATCCCACTAAGCCCTAACAGATAGGAAGCCCTGGGCAGGGTTACGAAGCTGTGAAAAATCAGTCTTTACATAATGGGTGAGCTCTTAAGCTCCCTTGGATCTAGGAGACAGCCTTGTAGATAGAATAGAGTGAGCTATCCATGGGGCAGAGACCATCAATAACAAATCGAAAAATGTCTCTACTTCCTCCTGGGTCCTACCCCAATAGCTGCGAGCTAGTTGCAGCACAGACTCAGATGCCAAATGAAGTCTCCTTCTTCCCACTCCCTAATCTCCAATGGGGAAAAAATCACACTTACCCACTCCCTACTCTGTTCTGCTCCAGCGCCCCAGGGTGCCAGCCCAGCAAATGCTGCTCCAGGTCGGGAGGTGGTGAGACCAAATGTCCGGAGGGTGGAAAACAAAGCCGTCCAGGACCCCAGACTTGTCGTGGTGCAAGACTTTGAAGCTCCAGCTGGCGAGAGCAAAACTAACACACAGGGCAGGTGAGCACATGTTCTGCTGGGTTACCTCGGAGAGGCTGAGGCTGGGCCAGAAGCCCAGGCGGGAACCTGTGGGCCTCTTCAGAAGCAGGGCTTCTACCTGCGCTTGGGAGGAACCGACAGTCTCTCCAGTCTCCTGTGGTTGCAGGGGTGTCTTAGTGCTGCTGTAAGAGAAGTGTCTCAAGCAGTTGGCTTTAACAAGTAGAAATTACTGTTCTCCTAGTTCAGAAGGTCCAAGTCTGGGTCCAAGGCGAAGGCTAGGGAAGGCTCTGTCGGCTTCGGGGGAAGTAATTTTCTTCAGCTTCTCTGGTATTCTTCTCTGCATTCCTCAGCGATCCCCACGTGGTTCCTATCTCCCTGCCTTTTCCTTCTTTGCTTTTGTGCCTAATCTGCCCTTTTCAAAAGTGGTTAGGTTCAAGGTACCACAATGGCATGGTCTCATAAATGTAAGGGAGCTCTGGTGGCCCAGTGATAAGGAGCTGAGGGGCTAACCTGAGGGCACATGGTTCAAATCCACCAGCTGCTCTGCAGGAGAATGCCAGGCAGTCTCCTCCCATGAAATTTACTGCCCATGTGATGGTATATGATAATAACAACAACAGTAATGTAACAAAAACCTTATTCCCGGTTGAGATTACATCCACAGGTTAGGAAGGAGACCCATCCTATTGGAGGTTACAATTCAGTCTATAGTATGCTGTGTTTACAATTCAGTTCAATTCCCTGGGATTAGGATGCAGAGAAGGAGCAATCCTTGTCTTTGCCATGTCTGAGGAGGCTTCTTGGAAGTACAGAACTCAGGAGCTGCATCAGCAAGAGAAAGTGATTCATTTTAGGAGAAAAGGAAATAGTCAACAAGCAAGTGAAGTGCATTCTGGGACCACAGGCATCCCTTTCAGCAATTAATCAACTGGATTCTTTTTTTCAGTGCTGACGGGCATAGCGGAAGCTCCTCCACAGTGCTGCTCTCTACCCTGGTGCCCCTGGCCCTGGTGCTAGTGGCGGGGGTCGTGGTTGTGGGGATCCTCAGAGCCCGGCACAGGAAAAATGTTGGTGAGTTCCCAGGACGCTCCCTGTGAGACCTCTGTCCTGGCTCTGCCACCCGTAGAGGAGGCCACTGTTGTCTCTTCTCCTTCCTAGGCTAAGACAAAGCATTCTGGGAAAAAGAGGGGGACCAACTTCCACACACCTCAAACTTAAATGACGTGCAGCTGTCCAAATGCTAGAAGTCCTGAGTGGAACAAAAAAATTAAGTGCTCAACTACTAACCAAAAAAGTTGGTCACCTGACATCCCTCCTTTCCCTCAGAGATGCCTCAGGGAGAAAGGCCTAGTGATTCACTTTCCAAAATAGTTGTGAAAACCTTGGAAGCTCATTTCTACTCTGAGTTGACCCCATGGCAATTGGTCATCTTTTTTTTTAACATTTTTAAATTTTAATTGAGATTTTAACAAAAGGTTGTAGAGAACTTGGATTTCCATTCATTCATTGTTACACATTTTCCTTCCTACCCTCTTCCCCCAGTTCCCTTTTCTCTTTGAAAAAAGGTAATTCTTTCACTGTTCCACAATTTCCTCCCCACCCCCAGTCCACTTTGTTATGCAACTCTTATTCTGGCCTGTTGTCATGCAAATAATACCTAATCATATATTCCTTTTAAACAGTTCTTTCCCTCATCTGTTTCAACGCAGCATGCATTCTTTATCCCCTCTCTTTTTTCATTTCCCCATCTTGAAAAAAAATCTCTGACTGTTCAGGGTCCAAGTTCTAAGGTCTTTGAAAAGAAACTGAGGATGTTCTGAGACCAGCTCTCACCCTAATGTGGTCCCTAAAAGGCTGTGTGGTCTGGGCCACTGTGCTCATCTCATGCCTCAGCTTTCTCAGCGCTCACAGCAGACAACAAAAACCACTTCAGCAGGCTGATGTGAGGATGAAATGAGGTGCTGTGCTTCAGAACATCACAGAGTAACAAACCAAAGTCAGGAAGTACTGAGGCTTCATTGTCAGGGAAAAAGGACTTGGGTGGAGACTCAGAAAAATCCACAAACATGCATTCCTATCCCACCTTGGTTACTAGTCCCATCCCACCTTGGACGCTAGTCAAAGCCAACAAGAGCTATGCAATCCCACCTCAGCCATTCTGTGGAGCTGCAGGAGACCAGCAGCACATCCCTGGACATTTGGTTCTCAGATCACACCCTATCCCTTCACCATCTCTGCTTTCTCTTGGACAGACCGAGTTTCAATTCAAAGCTATAGGACTGACTTTAGCTTGTCAGACTTGAACAGTTCCAGGGATTTTGGCGCCAATGACAACATAGGAGCCTCTCCAGCCAGTCAAGAAACATCTCTTGGAGGAAAAGACGGTATGTACCCTCCCTCAGGGGAATGTTCAGCCCCTTTAGAACAAGAACCTCTGGCTTGTTGTTCTGGGAATCTAAGCTAATGAGGCTTAATCCATCTTCTCTTCTCTCAGACCTTGCTACCACCACAGAGAGTACTGTGGAGAGAGAAGAAGTCAAGAAGGCGAAAAGGGTAAGCATGAGAGTGGAGGAGAAGGCTTCACTTGTAGAGTAAGAAATGCACCATGAGAGACTGCAGTGAAACATCAGGAAGAACTACCTCAGAAGAGGACCCAATTCCAGAGTTGTTGTCTCATTGAGTGTTGTTGAATTGACTCTGACTTAGAGCGACACTGTGAACCCTGCCACATCCTGTACCATCTGGACTGTCTCTGACACACTCAAGCCCACCATTACAGTCACTGGGTCAATCCATCTCATTGAAGGTCTTCTTCTCCTTTGCTGACTCTACACTTTCCCAAGCATGATGTCCTTTTCCAAGGACTGGTCTCACCTAACGTGCCTGAAATTACATAAGATGAATTCTAGAATGTTGTTGTTGTTAGGTGTCGTCGAGTCGTAGATGACTCCTAGTGACCCTATGAATGAAAGACCTGAGCACTGTTCCTAGACGTTCCAGAGTCAAACCATTTCGGAAGTGGATGCCACCCCTGCTTCCAAGCTTGTTTGAATCAGAAAGCTCCACTAAACAAGGTCCACTATGGGTCACCATTATCACATTTGGCACATCAGTGTCACAGTTTTTAGCATGAAGGTATTATAAATACTGTTGAAAATTTTTATTTTTTGGTTAGGCAAAGATATATCTTACTGAGAAAGTACTTACTTCTGGGTGTTGACACAGATGAGAATGAAGAAGGACAAGAGCCACAATTGACAGTCTTTAAAGCCCTTGTGATGTAATAGTTAAGCACTCTCCTGCTAACTGAAAGGTGGGAGGTTTGATCCCATCTGTGGCTGCATAAGAAAGGCCTGGCAATCTGCTCCCCTCAAGATTACAGCCTAGAAAATCCAGTGGGGCATTAATATTCTGCCTTATGGGGGTCCCACTGAGTTGAAATAAACTCCATTACACCCATAAGCAAACTTGAAGGGAAAAGGGAGACAGAAACATGAGCAAGGCCAAGTACATAGAAGATCTGGCAACAGGTTGGGACAATCAAATTTCAAATCTTGGTGATTATGTGGATACTCATCCTAGGCTGGCATGGTGCAGATTATTGACTATACCTGGGCCTGTCAAAAGAACATCTGTCTGGATGGGAGCATAGCCAGAGTGCTCTTTAGGGTCACAGATGGTAATACGTCCTGAGACATACTTTAGGAATGTTGTCAGGAAGGGCCAGACCCTGGAGAAGGACAGCTTGTGTTGAAAAGTAAATGGTCAGTGCAAGAAAGGAAGACCATCAGTGAAATGGATTGGCACAATGCCTCCCATGATGGACTTAAGTAAAGGCAGGGGTTTCGTTCTGTTGTATATAAAGTCTCTATGAGTTACAGCCAATGCCTCAGCATCTAACAACTCCCTGGACTTTGGGCTAATGGATCTTGGGTTACTCACCTCCTTGAGCTCAAGCCTCTTGCTGGGCTGGGAGACACAGCTCATATGGGAGGTTTGGATGGCACAGGACAGGACAGCGTTCAGATCTCTTCAGATCTTCAGGGTCGCTATGAGTCGTACCGCACTTTACCTAACAGCAACACCACTACAGAAGCCATGGCCTTCCTCAACGAGTGGCCACAGGACTTGCAATCCCACCAAGACCACCTTTGCCTTTGGATTGCACACTACCCTCCTCTCATGCTCTAAGGTTCAGGGGCCCTCACAGGATAACATTTGTACCTCCAACCCTGAGATGTTAATGTTTTTTATCTTATTGACTTTACCCTCACAATAGCAGAAACTCCAAACTTGCAATAATAGGAAATTCCCTGTCCTGCAGCCTCTCTAGACTCATGGTGCTGAAAGGCTGCCTCTCTGGGCTGGTGGAGCAAGAAAAATCATCTGTGGGTGGCACTGAGCAGCCTTGCCACCTTGACCCATAGACTGTATGAGAAGGACTTCCGGGGACAGGCCAGGGCAACAGAGATGGTTCCGCTCGATGGGTCAAAAGGAGGTAGTGAGACAAAAGGAGGTATTTTTAGAGGCTACAACTTTCCATTTCTCAAAATAAGCCTCTCTTGGTGAGCATGGGGCCCCTGTAAGAACAGTAGGTTCACATGGGTTTTCTTTGCTTGGGCCTGAGAGCTTGAATCTCCTGGCTCCTCAGCACTGAGACAAGTGCCTCAAACAGTAACCTGACTCCTGCCCTGTTGCTCCTTTAGTCATCCAAGGAGGAAGCCGACATGGCCTACTCAGCCTTCCTGATCCAGTCCAACAGCATGGCCGCCAATGTCCGGGACGGCCCCCAAGAAGCCTAAGCAGCGTTCCAGCGCCTCCTCTCCCTGCCCCTCACAATCACCTCAGAATTACGTTGATCTCTGGGCCCTGGCCTCCGGGGGTCTCCTGCTGCCTGCATGCGTACCCCACCAAGGGTGTGTTGGTCCCCTTCTCAGTGTCTCACTGTCCTGTTTGTGGTGGGAAAGTGGTCCCACCAACCTGCAGCTAATATCTAATGAGATGGTCAAAGGTATGGAAAGAGAATTTCAGTCTTAGAGGGGCGCCTCAGAGAGAAGAGAGAATAGAGCAGATCAGAAGCAACTATCACGAAGGAGAGTCATTTAGGATCTCTCTGCATGCTCATTATAGAATGCCAAATGGATTTTCCTTCCAGCCTTTCATCTGGTCCTTTCTTCCTCTCTTCTTCCCCTCTTTTCAGGCACTCTACTAGACACCGGGACAGATAGGCCACCAACCCCACTAGCAGCCCCTTTGTAAACATCACTTAATCCTTGAAAGTCACTGCTCCTCTCAGAACACTTGTATTCAGTTTGATCTCAGATTTCACTGGGTAGTCCTGCCACTGTCTTCATTGTGAGAAATCATGCATACCTGGATCCTAAAGCCTTGGGGTTGATTAACATGGGCAAGTATTCAAACAGTCATTGATTCACACACTTACAATCTTACAGGGAAAACACTTGGGTCTGGAGGGATTTCCCCAAGAGCACCAAGCTACATAACCCAGAGTCAAGACTAGATTTGGGTCTCCTGTCCTTTTAGCCAGGGAATAGCCCCTGCTTCCCTCATAGAAGGAGCATTTTATCTTTCAAAAAAGGAAGAGAATAAAAATATAAAAGAAAGCTGATTCCTCACATGCTCCCATGCTGGGAAGGTAACACTTAATCTTTTTATCACTCATATAGACCCAAGAAGATAAGAGAGAGAACATTTATAAGTCCTCATGTTTGAATAGTCCTATGTGATTTATAGCTTCAGAAGTCTGATGAAGGGTTTCTATAAATTCAAGACAGACTTAAGAGCAGTGAATTTTGCATATTTTTTGTTGTTGCCTTTTTTTAAAAAAAAAAAAAGTTGTGCAGAAGAGAAGACAAGAGGGTGTTTGTTTGATGCATCCAGGAAGAGACTGATGTCCAAGAGACCCAGGATGTCTGTCTTTTGTCCCCCAACCTCTGTACTTTAAGCAGCATCTTTCAGCTGGTAGTTGCTAACAAATCAAAAATGTCCCTTAAACAGTAATTAAATGCTATGATTGCCATGAAGACGTCTCAGACTGTATTTCTCTCATGCCCACTGTTTTCAGACATCTGTTTGGAAAACATTTTGCTTTGGGAGACATCCCAGGACATTTGTTTAAGCCAACCCCTCACTACATGCAATGGTGGACTGAGAAGGGCTAAGATGGCACCTCAAAATAGAACTAAGTTTATTCTCAAATAAAGAAGAGTTTGTATCTACTTGGAACCAAAACTCTACAGACCAAATGCCTTCAAATAATGGCTCTTTTATAATGGAATTGACTGAAAGCAGGTACAACCTGTGTTCATTTGGGGCAGCCAAAGAATTATCCAGGGGACTGTGAATCTCATACTTTCTTAGGAAGCCCTCCAAGATGAAGAGTTGTTGTTATGTGCCATCAAGTGACCAGCAACTCATAGTGACCCTATGTACAACAGCCCTAAACCCTGCTCTGTCCTGTGCCAACCTCACTGTCTCCAACACACCCATCCCCATTACACCAGTCACCGAATCAATCCACCTCATAGAGGGTCTTCCCCTGCTGTCCCTTTACCTTCCCAAGCATGACATCCCTCTCTTAGGACTGGTCCCTCCTTGCAACATGTCTAAAGAATGTATTAATAAAAACTAATAGAGTTTAGGGCTGTTGTACATAGGGTCGCTATGAGTCGCAGGCGACTCGATGGCACATAACAACAACAATAAAATTAGTAAACCCTGTAGGACTATCCACCAGAAAACTAGATAAACAGTAGAGAATAGTAAGGAAAAGTTGTTGTAGTTGTTATATGCTGTCAAGTTGACTGAGACTCATAGCAACCCTATGTACACATCTAAAGAGGAAACAGTGGGCTATGGGAGCAGAGGGCCTTGAGTGTCTCTCTGAAAGGGCCAGAATGAGTAAGAATAGCACAGTCCCTCGCTGCCTCAGCAGAAAGCAGATAAAGACCCATAGCCCAGCCCCGTGGTGCCTCTAGAGCCCCACCAGCAACAAGAGGTTCATTTGTTTGTTCCTGACTTACAGTTATTGGTAAAAACTATTATTTATTATTTATTATTTATTAAGGAAGTGAATGAGGGAGGCAAAGAATGTCTCACAATACTATTCCAGGCTTTAGCCCAATTCCAAGGCACCATTCCTCAGTAAGTCCAGGCTCTAGTTTCAGTTCAGCAGTCAAATCCAGATCATGCAGCAAGGTTTGCCTCAGAGCAGTTATAAGTCAGCTTCTTCTTCAAACATCCAGCAAGAGCAGCCAAACCTTTAATTGTGTCCAGCACAAATGCAAGAAGCCTCAGTTCACACCTTGTCACTCTTTGTCCATTGTAATGCTGCAGTATTTCCACTAGCCGGGTCTCACTCTCACCAGGGTCTTGCTACCACAAGCCTTGCTCACTGCGTGGGGAGCACTCTTTCTCTTATCCTAGTCCCACAGTTGTTGGTGATTTGCAAGACAATGCTGATTTTCAAGACCATGTGTCTACACTTAAAGTAGACTAACTAATGGCTTTAAAAAGCCAACTTTTAGGCTAACATCACAGTACAGTAGCTCTGAACCCTGTCCTATCTTAAGCCTGTCTCACTGCCTTGGATACACCTATCCCCAACACCCCAACCACCCAATCCATCTCATTCAGGGTCTTCCTCTCCTGTGCTGTTCCACCACCCTTCCAAGTATGTTGTTCTTCTTCAAGGACTGGTCCACTCTGGTTACATACTCAAAATATGTGAGATGGAGCTTTAAAAACCTTGCCTCGAATGAATGACTTGATTTCACCCTCTATAAGACAGACCTGTTTGTTCTCTTGGCAGTCCATGGTATGTGTATTCAATACTCTTGTCCACACCATACTTCAAAGCCATCAATTCTTCTCTTATTCTTAATCACTGCCCTGTTCTCTTTGTAATTACAAAGACCATGGCCCGGATCAGGTACACGTGAGTCTTCGACTGATATCATTGTTCTTCAGCACTCTGGAGAGGTCCCTAACAGCAGATTTACCTAATACAAGTCATCTTTTTATTTCCTGACTGGTGGTGCCATGAGTGTTGATTGTGGAACCAAGCAGGCTGAAACTGTGAACAATATTGATCTCTTCTCTATTTATCATGGTGCTGTCAGTTGGCCTAGTGGTGAGAATCTTTGCTTTCTTGATGTTGAGCTTCAATCCATATTGAAGACTGTAATCCCTGACCTTCTGCAATAAATGCTTCAAATCCTTCCCTCAGTTTTTGCAAGCAAGGTTGTGTCATCTGCATAACACAGGTTGTTGATGAGTCTTCCTCTAATCCTGATGCCAAATGCCTCTTCATAAAGTTTTGACTCCTGAATAATCTGTCCTGCATATAGATTGAAAAGGTACAGAGATAAGAGGCATCTCTGACACATTCTTTTCCTGATTTTGAACCATGCAGTGTTTCCTTGCTCTTTTCTGATGACTGATTCCTGGTCCAAGTATAAGTTTTGCAAGAGCACAATTAAGAGCTCTGGGATTCCCATTCTCCTCAAGACTAGCCAAAAATTATAAACTTAAGATTGTAACAGCTGATGCTAAGCTCCTTTTGGTAGTCTATTCCTATTAAGATTTACAACCTTGAAAAACAAGTGAAGATTCTCCATTAATTGCAATTAACAGCAGTATCTTTGATTTTGTCTTCTAACTCATTCCTAGGTCTACCATTAATCCATGCCATATGGCCACGTGGGGATGGCCATGTCTGACCTTTACTGACTTCACAATGGGGAACTATTCCTATCAACAGTATCAATAACACAAAACCAAAGTCCCCCATACTCCCATACTTCTTCCTACTAATCTTTTTTTCTTATTATTAATTTTTATGAACATTTACAGACATTGGATTTCCATTCATTCACTGTTGCACCTTTTTCCCTGCCCACTCCTACCCCTCAGTTTGCTCTTCTCTTTGAAAAGTAAAGAAAAAATTCTTTCATTGCTATACAGTCCCCCCCCCCAATTCCACTCCACTATGCCACCTTCGTTCTAGACTCCTGACAATATTACCTAATATTCGTTCTAGACTCATGACAATATTACCTAATCATATATCCCTTTTAAACAGTTCTCTCTTCATCTGTTTCCTACTAATCTTAACACCAACCTTACTGCTTTACTGGGTCCAAAATCCAGCGCAATATCTTCTAGACCACACAGAACCATTTTGGGGGGATGAAATGATTATATTACAAATTAGCTGCAGAATACAGTCAGGACAGCTTCTGATATGTGCATACAAGCACCTCAGCCTTAAACCAGTGTGGGGTCGCTTTGTGAACAGTTTCCTTTTCTGATGGCCAAAACCAGAGGACTGCATTCTTTTTAAATTTTTTCCTTTTTAAAATATTTTTATCATTCATGTACATTGTGCTTCATACATGTACATTTTATTCCATACAGTTCTTCATTTGGATTCTATTTCATTCATTTATATTGTAGGGTGGGTTTTCCCTCCCTTACATTCATATCCTACCAACAACTACTTAAGTGTGAGAATCAACCCCAAAAGTTTGTTCAGCATCCAAACACATCTCAAAAAAATGTAACATGACCTTTCCTTACTATTTTCAAGTTTATTTTGTGTATTTGAGTCAGAATATTTAGTTTCTATGCTTTGAGAAGTAAACAATATAATTTTTTAAAAACAAACTTAAAATCAAATTGTAGAAAGAAAAAAATAACTTTCAAAGGCTTCTTCTTCATTCAATGTTCAGCTCTCCAATGCATAGCATCTAAATAAAAAGACAATGGTCTAAATCAATAA